AGAAGAAAGAGAAAGAGCCCCGGTCAGATGTCCCTGGTGAGGAGGGGTTTCCAGCGGAAAATCCAAGTTGTATCACTGGTTTCTGCGGAATTAAGTTCCAGAGGAAACCGCTCAGGGCAAAGTCCAGGGTGGAGGAGGCAGACCAGAGGCCTAGCTGGGGCAGGGGTCTCACACCCAGCACCTGTGTCCTCTCAGGTTCCCCTTGCCTTTGGGTTTGCGGAGCCGCTCGCTCCTGTTCTCGGCCTCCCTGCCTATCCCCAGTGACTGGACTACACTCCCGCCCCAAGGCTTGTTTGTTTGCTTTTTGTCACTTGCATTTCCCTTTATGGTTTGCTTTGTTCTGAGGCTGTCCTGGATCGGGACTGGGGATTTGGCTTTCTGGTGGGCCCCTGTGCTAACCTATAATGGATTACTGTGTTGCACACATGAGACATTGGGACGACCAATTAAAAATCTAGGTACAGCGTGCATGGTGGTGCACGCCCGTCATCCCAGCACTTGGGAGGCTGAGGCAGGAGGAGTGCCCCGAGTTCGAGGCCAGCCTGGGCTACATAGCGAGTTCCAGTTCAGTCTCAACTACATAGTGAGACCCTGTCTCAAAAAACAGAACAAAAAAAGTACCAATAAACTCAATAAAAAAAAAAATCTAGGTACAAGATCCCAGTGATGAATATAACTCTACTGTATACCTAAAAAGTACCAATAAACTTAAGAAGAAAAAAACAATCTAGGCCAGTGTTGTGATGCAATCGCAGTACTCTGGAGGCTGAGGCAGGAGGATCCCCCTGAGTTTGAGGCCAGCGTGGGCTGCACAGTGAGAACCTGTCTCAAGAAGCCATTAAAATGTATATACAATGGATTGGGGATTGAGCTCAGTGCAATACAACAGCTGGGAGAGGTGGCACACACCTGTAATCCCAGTTACTCAGGTGGCTGAGGCAGGAGGATCGCAAATTTGAGTCTAGTCTGGGCAGCTGAGGTAAACCTTGTTCCAAAATCAATCCTGAAAAGGCTCTGGAGGAGTCGCGCAGTGGCAAAAAGCTTACCTGCTAGCGTGCAGGAGAAGCTGGGAATCCCTCCCCAGCCCCGCAAACGTACATAATAAATAAATATGAAAAACGTTCGAGGCGCTTGGCTTCGGGAACGCGTGACCGGCACAAACTCCTGTCTCAGCAGCTTGGCAGGGCTGCGCCAAAAGCACATCCTCTTTTTGACCTCCTGTGTTGTGGTAGGAAACACCGTTTCGGTGGAAATCTATATTCGATGTCTACATTTCACAGGACTGTTGGGGAGCCGAGTCCCGTCGCCACCTGTTTCGTGTGGCTCCTGAGCTACAGGTGTTTCTTAGACGGCGTTTTAAGGGCTGCCGAGGAAAAGCAAAGGCTCCAAGCCCACACTAAATTAACTGTTTTTCCGGGGATCAAACTCGGGCCTTTGCGCTTGCCAGGCAGGCGCCGGAACCACTGAGCTAAGTCCCCGGCCCTAAATGTTTTCGGGGACAAGGTCTCCCTGTGTTGCCCAGGCTGCTGTCACTGCTGGGCTCGGAATTCTGCCTCAGCCTCCTCAGTCTGGGATGACAGACGTGCGCCACCGCGCCCAGCTGTTTATTATTATTATTATTATTCATTATTATTATTCCAGAGGGTCAATGTACGAACCAGGCTGCGACTGCACTACTCACAAATCCGCAGCTCCCTCTCCCCGACCTTGCAGGAGGCCGCGGGACTGGACTTCCGGCGTCTACAGCTTCGCAGGTCCTAAGACGCCCCCAGAAACGCCAGGAGAAACTGGAAATCTGCGTGGCAACTAGACCCGAGCGGGCGGTGCCTGCCTCAGATTGGCCATTTTGGACCTACGAGGCGGGGCTACGGTCCTGATTTGCTCTCAGTTCCCGTCTGCGGTTGGCCAGTACTTGGTAAACAGGGCTGTGAGCTACTGCTATCCATGGGACGTCCTACAAAGGGGCGGGAAACAAGAGTGCACGTCCACCACTCGGTTGCGTGACGTTTATTTGCGATTGGTCCGGAGCTGGGAGGCGTTGCACATCCTCGTTCGCGATGGACCTTTGGAGAACATGCCTACTTCTTATTGGCCAGCACTTCTCAGAGCGGGCCAAGCGTAGCCCAAGGCGACCAACGATTAGTCAGTGCCGCGCGCGGTGGAGCGCGAAGACAGAGTGGATTGGTGAACTCCGGCGCGGGTGGGCCCTCGGAGCACGGCGGGGACTAGCGATTGGCCAAGGTAGCGACAGGCGAGGCGGGACGGAACCACACGCCGGTTCCGGGCCTGGTGACGATGGCGCCGGCCTCCTGGCGCT